CGGTGAACTGCCTGAATTGTGGTGTCACAATTTTGAGCGATTGTACGGATGCTGAGATCAGCCCTTTCGATCACTTCGCGGATAACAGCACTAGCTGAACTCTCATCCGTTGTGGTGTCAGACTGTCCCGTGTTTCTGGCTTTGCACACATTACCCATTTCTTCGAACTTCTTCACCAGTTTTAACACGTACCGGTCGTTTACAGGTCGCATTCCCAAGGTTTTGCTGTTGTATCCTCACACTGTTAAGGCTGCATTGAGCCCGCACTCATCATATAATCGAAGTGTAAGCATGATCTGACCATCAGCGACCTGACTTAACTCAGGCTGCATAAAATTCACCGACGCGAGTGTATCCTCGCGTTCCATCGCGGATACAGTGGTCCATTTAAGAAAGGAAACTGACCGTGTGCCTAAGCTTATCTGGCAAATCTAACCAATGTCCGAACTGCGATTTTGGCCTGTCTGTCCACCATCAGGTGGCCAGCTTGTGTGTTGCACATCATTGACGTATGGGCTACCAGTCATCGGAGCAGTGACAAATTCCTGCCTGAAGTAAACAGGTGCGTGCTTTGCGATTAAACACACAGCTCCGATTGGATGGTCTGACAAGTATTGCTGGTTATCTGTCCTTCGTAGAGACGCGCGTCGTGTTGAATTGGATTGCCACCATACGGCTTACGGTCCACATTTAACGGAAGTTGGAGGCTCACCTGATTCTCTCTGGGGCTTTACGATTCACGGATGCATTTTCGCCTGGCGCTACCCATTGGAAAATGGCTTGCCTTTTAACGCCCTGCGGCTTTGCGTGGACACTGGTTTGGCCCCTCAAACCATGAAAGAATCATGTGAAAGTTAGAAGGGCCTGTTCCATGTTCGCACCAACTACGTATGTCTGGACGAATTTGAAATCCAGTTGCTATTTACGAATCTACATGAAACCACTTTTCCTATGAGGAATATGGTGTTGGGATTCGCTACCTTCGGCTTACTCTGATTGGTTGAACTCCGCTCTCTGCTGATTATTTGACCGTGTGGTTCGAACGGTTGTTTTCCCTTCGTTTACCTCGTACCATATACATCCGCTGCGTCTGCGTTTTTCTGACATGGCTGGTTCAATAATATTTGTAGTCACAGAGCCAAACTGCAGGAACAGTGCGTTCTCGATATCTACAGCCACAGTAGTTATTCCACTGTCGGTCTTTGGTGTTGATATTCCTACCTTGAACTTTCTGGTGTCGTTCACAAGCTTGTAAAGCAGTTTGTCATCATTTGTGGACTTGATTACTACAACTTCCTGCTATTCTTAATTGTCGGCTCTGATAAGCGAGGTGCAGTAGTTTCTGACTATTTTGCCGTTCTTCCATATGGTATCACATGGGTATTTCGCATGTCGACTAAAAATCTCACAACCTTTCAATGCATTTGCGCTTTCATTTTCGGAACCAGACCTAAGTCTCCTGTGATGTTCGTAGTTTTTCAGTTTTTGAGACAGGTTTGGTGACATTGTTGAATTAGCCCTTTAGTCTATTTGTTGCGTTGTTGGAACTTTGCAGTGGGAGATCCCAGTCAACGGGTTGCGCCAGGTTATAAAGCTTGGAGTCGTGCGTAATAGTGTGTCAAGGAACTTAGCTTTTATGCAAACAGCCGGCGTAACATATATGGTCAAACGCTAAAACTGCATGATAGCTACTATGCAGTGGAGGGTCGTCTGGAACTGATTCAACCATCGACTCTTCATTAGTTAGGATTAAGTTCAGAAGTGATGGTTTGTTTGAACCACGGCGTCTGGTACATCTGTCTTCGTGGTCATACAAAGCCGCCATGTTCATAAACACAAGAAGTTTTGTTTTCAATATGACCTACTGGGTGAACCTGATACTAATGAACGCACAATGAAATCGCCAATTATCGGATACTGCGGGTACTTTCTGTAACAGTATAGTGGAGAGCGTTTAACAGAATATCATAGATGTCTCCGGAGGAGTCGAAGTTCTAACAATTTCCAGACCATCTCAAGCTCTGACGTCACATCAAGATAGTGCACCATCACGTGGCACTACCGAGCGATCTTGACGTCGTCATACAAGAACCGACTTCAGTTCAGTGTGGGCAAGTGCAAAGTTTCAAACACCAGCCATCTTCGTAATCATCAACATCGACTTGGTGAACACCTTTGCAACATGTTTCTCAGGAAAGCAGGACAACCTTGGCCACTTAACTCATGAAAAAGACAGATAGAAGAGTCAGTCAACACCTTGGTTTCCTACGGAGGGCGCTCGCGAATTTCGAGCGTACTCACTTCCACAAATTTTGAATGCCTTCGCGAGGCCGCAAGGTGAATATGCCAATTAAGCGTAGCCTTCCTGGCGGAAACACGATGTTGTTGTGTTTGAGGGTCCACGGCGTAGAGTAATCAAAACGTTAGAGGCTTGGTTCACCTTCCCTACCGATCCAGATTGCAAGTCCTTGGATTGTACAACGGTATCGGTCTTCGAGGCAATCTCGCCATAATGACCACAAATGGCGGACCCAGTCAAGTCTGCCGCGATCTGTTGCAACTCAGGCAAAAAGTAACCTGAGAGGCCACAAGCTCAAATTGGATGCGCACTTGATTACGGACAAGATTTCGCTTCCCCTTGGGTATCCCGGTACGAAACGCTCTTCCATCTCACGTCATTTGAGCCTCAAACTTAACAATCCAACAGATGACTTGACGACACAATATCCCATTTGCATTATATGCTATAGTCTGTCTAATTCAGAAGACCAAATAGCATGCACAAAACTGTGCGCTTACCAGCCGTCGATGTAACGTAGCAGCGAAGAAACCTGCATCTCTGTCTATGTGAGTCGCTTGGTGAATAACCTAAAACCCGAATTTTCTCCCCCTTTATTGTCACCTTCGATTTGTTAGTCCTCGCCTGGTTACGGTACTTGTCAAGCATTCACTTTGCTACCCGGTGCTACGTGTTCGTTCAAGCCAATTAGTTGGTTAAGTACCGACAATCAAAGTCGTTGCCTGCGTAACTGTTAGATAAGCATGGATTTAGGGTTGCGCCACTTCTAAGTTTACTTGCCACATAAGTATAGCAGCTGTGTAAGATATAAGGTTAGTATGCAGCAACAGGGCGAAATTGCCTACCAACAGCACAGTAGGCATCAAAATGGTAACAGCCCTGATGATTGCCTTTAGCTATTTGAACTGTTTAACCCGTGACCGGCACAGCAGTGCCACTGTGCGTCCTTCTTTCTGATGTGATCAACCCCTGTGACCATCCCTACGACGGTGATGATGACGTGTTTGCTTAGGAAAACAGCTATTAGACATTCATATTTTGGGAACGAGCTTAATAGCTATTCTTTATTCTTCCTATTTTCTACTTTTTGACCGTTGTTTAAATGCTTTACTGGGATAGCCCGATTGGTACACCCACGTCACTGTTAATGGACGCTCATCGTCCTGTCCTCTTCAGCAGTGCCATTTGCGAGAACACATTTCATTGGTTATTTCTTCTCAGCATTGTTCTACTTGGTTATGTTAAAGGAGTAGTTAGTTGTCACACAATTATTGCACTATTTGTTAAAATTTTGGTCTGCGCTTCTTATTCTCGTTTGTTTCGTGACATTTGTTTAAACGCTTCATTTCATTATTCTGATTAGCCAGTGCCCGTCACTGTAAATGGATGTTCGCTTTACGCTTGGAGACCCTGTAAAGCAAATGAAGGCACCCTGGTTCGTTTAAACCATACGTTATTTTTAGTGCCCGTTTTATTCCCTTTCTTTTCTTGATGTGTATCGCATTCATGACGAAGCAAACGGTAAAACCATCACCGCGTCTACCTTTGCCAAAGCTACTTGTTTTATATACGCTTGTACCGAAAAACACTTGCTCCTGTCGTGTCGCCGAATACATGTGTTTCCGCTCCGTTTGTTCGTTCTGGTATTCGCCTCATCGGAGCATCGTCATCATATATGCGTTTACAGTTCGGTTGTTGAGCTTCGCTTAATATTCGCTTACCGTCCGGAGTCCTTGTCGGTACCACGAACCTGCGCTACGGAACATATTACATCCCATGATGCTATTGCTAAGGACATATGCGATTCGCTCTTGAGTACACGGTTGCTTATTCGTCGTTGCATTTGGCCTTTTTCCTTCTGTTGGTTGGCTCAAGTGTAATTTAGTAGATTCCCTTCATTTTACCTTTAAAACTACATAAGCAAATATGATTTCATGTATACAAGTCTCTCTCTGGCTCGTCTTTGGACTTCTTGCAGTCGTGGGGTGAAGGCGTTAGTGGCGACACAACAGGTTACTTGCCACATAAGTATAGCAGCTGTGTAAGAGATAAGGTTAGTATGCAGCAACTGTGTAAAATTGCCTACCAACAGCACAGTAGGCATCGAAATGGTAACAGCCCTGATGAATGCCTTTATCTATTCGAACTGTTTAACCCGTGACCGGCACAGCAGTGCTACTGTGCGTCCTTCTTTCTGATGTGATCAACCCCTTTGACCATCCCTACGACGGTGATTATGACGTGTTTGCTTTGGTTGAGGTGCCTCTGTTCCGAATAGTCAACTGAATCATGCGTTTGAAACGGATTAAGCATCATCTCCCACACCGCCATCTGGGTAGTCAGCCCAGATCAGGTCTACACAGATACCGAAGTCATTTCGACACCGCATGGTATTCGCAATGACTTGCTGTCCAAAACCTCAAGCGTTAGCGAGTACTGTTAACCAAACATGCCCACTACCTGGGTCAGCTTCCGCTTGAATCCAAACGTGAGCAGCGGGGGAGGGGGCAGCCTACCCGCCAGACTCACATTTGCAGCTGTTATTAGTCATTGTTCATTAGGATATATTTGGTTAACAGTTTCCTTATTTCGGTTAGAATCCCTGTTGCTGTCAGCTTACTGGTCCCCTCTTTACGGACTGGAATGTTCAACAGTAATATTCCTGACAAGATTCCTAATTCATCCCATCATTGCAACCCACCATTCTTCCATCAACGCTTCTTCTCTTTCCGTTGGTTTTTCGGAGGAAGCAGTACTCGTTTTTGCAGACGTGTTCTGTTCGAGAGGACACTGCGCTGAGGCTGCGGGGCAATACGGAGAGAGACGGTATGAAGCAGGCAGTCAATGAAAATCATTTGTGCAGAAGACAATCAACTTTAACTTTGATGCGTTTATGCAGCATTCATGGTATGGTAACGAATGTGATTACAACAAACAAAGTTGTTGCAAGGAGTGACCACAGAATGACTTGGTAGTCTTATACAGTCAAGCCTGTCTAAGGCGGCTACTTAAGGGACCGAGCAAAAGTGGTCGCCATGGACAGGTTCATGCCAAAGGGACATTACTCAAAGCAGAAAACGTTGGAGATATTTTTGGCTGGTCGCCATAGACAGGTGGTCGCCATAGCAGGTTGGACTGTATTATTGCGTTTCTACATACTTCTATATTTCTAATACCATCAAACGTGAAAGTTAAGCTGAACCAACTAGGGTCTTTCATCAGGATTTGAGTCTGTCTAGGATAATGAAAATCAAAGTTTACGTAAATGTCTAGAGATGTGGACGAATTAAACATTAGTTTCCCCGTTTGTCATCTACATTTCATGTAGAGAGATGATTCCCGTCCAATGTCAAATCTGTCCGACGGAACTGTATGAGCACTCTCGCTTTCATTTTTTCTCTCCAAATCTCTAAGTGCCGATGCATACCAGTGTCTCGGGCTCTGAAAGTCATTAGATCGTCGCCGATAGAATGGTGGAAATATTCCTAGGTCCACACCATGGAGGCAAGTTAAGCGAAACGGCGCATAGAATAGGTTGAGGGGCTACCGCCCTGCGGATATCAATCTTTGGATAACCACTTGGATGCGCTGAAAAAAATCGAACACGTTCTGCAAAGTCAAAAAGAACTTTGATTTCCGGTACCAGATCGATTACTCTGTCTTGGTGGATCAGTTATCCCATTCCTACCTTTTTCCACCTCCCGAGCTAATCACATGCTTTTCGTGCTTTAGACCATCAGCATGCTCAAACGAGTGTCGTTTTACATTACCTTCGTTTGCAGGCCGGCCACGCTTCCACCAGTCTGCTATTCCCATTACTGTTACTGTTATCTGTTGTTACCTGCTGTTGCAAACCTAGTCTTGAGTCCTATATTGTCTAGTATTCTGCCGTTTAGAACCACGGTTACAGAAATATAATACAAATTCCGCTGTTTTTAACGTTTTTTACCCAGACCGTGCGTGTAGTCTAGGTTTATAGCTCGAACTAGCAAGATCTATATGCAATCGTGCGACGTAATTCGATTTAGCTTGTTCTGTTGTTACACGCTTCATCTTCTCAAATAATTGCATCAGCTCGTATTACCATAGTATGACAGAGGTCGTATGTCTTTTACTATGGGTAGTGTCGTGGACGTTTCAGAGATACCTACAGGTTGTACTGACGCGGTGAATTGGTACACTCCACCGAATTTACAAACTCCTCCTTTCACCACAAATGACATGACAACTCTACCATTCCAGGCCAATTTAGAAGCTGCAACAGCCGAGGCCCCCAGGTTGTCAACTGTTGTCAGCCGTTCGGGTAATCGATACAGATATCCGTTGCTATCTCCCGTTAATTGGTGACTTTTCTGTGTAGACTGAAATGTCCGCCGTCATGTTTCTTTCCTACTTTTCGGTTTCTGTCCAGATGAAAAACTACTACCAGAGGAATAAATCAATCCATCCTGACAGTGAAGCGCGACTATGTTCCGGTAACATTACAGCCAGACATGGCGTCTGATATAATGCTCATTTCTTGATCGACATGGGCAAAACTTGGCAAGCCGCCAATTGAACTCATAAACCTAACGGATCAAAATGCAACAAAAGAAGCTCTTCAGGTAGACAGAGAAATCGCCTGTGAACTCAAGTGTAAGAATGTACAATTCCATAAAGCGATATACCTAGCCTCCTGTATCTACATTAATATGTCCGAAATGGATTGGATTAAGAAGTCAAATGCGCCCATAAATTTATGGTTGGCGGCATCCGGTTTCGGATTTACGTGTCACTGTGACAAGCCACAGGACGCCTGCGCCTACAGAGGGACCATGGGTGGCTTGCGCTGCACCACTTACAGCTCCATCCACACACACCCCATTTCCAGTGTAAACCCGAAGGAATAAGACCGGGAGGCATGTGGATGGGAGTCATGTTTCATCAACGGAGCCGGCCCACACTCCTACGAAGGCAAACACAAGCACGATGTACTTGGGAATCAAGCGCACACAAGGCGGTGGCTGGACCGTAGTCCGCTCCACACTGAGTGCATGGAACTACTCTCTGATCCTAACACGGCCACAAGGACCGTGCACCCCGTCCCCTCCAGCAAGGACCAACTGCCTTCTGGAGCCAGTATAGACGAGGTAGTGCGTACGTAATAGACAGGTAGGCACCTCGTTAACATGCACATCAAGCGCAGCCACACCGGGGATATCAAACAACAGCCAATCACTTGAGAGAAAGCTAACAAAGAAAAGAAATCGAGTAATGCATAAGGAAACGGTGACATAAACCTTAAATTAATGAGCATATGAAATAAGTTGTTTACAAAGGATCCGAGATAGGTTCAGGGGGTCAGAAAGTATATTTTACGGAAATGACACAAACGCGAAAATGTTATCGAAATTAACTACAATTGGCTTAAGCGAGTTGTGCAGGTTTATAGAAGAACGTACAGGTGAACATTTATTTGAGAAAGAAAAGCATTGGGACAAAATTGAAAACCCACCACCTGAAATAAAGAGACTTAGCATGCAAGCACGCGGTTAGTAAATCGAATGCAGCGTACCTACAAAAGCTGCGTCGGTTCTGCCTACGTTCTCTGCAGGACCCGTCGTCGCTTCTGTAGTGGTCCCGAGTGGCCTCGCTCATGGCTCACTAAGCCTGCTTGACTCAGGCACTCGCGACCGCATGTGCTACAGCACCATGCGCTTAATGTCGATGGAGTACAACCCATCGGTGCTTGACGCTTCCGCACTTGCCGCTTCTTCTTTGCATACGTGAGGGCTTTCTCCTGCACCTCAGCAACTGCCTTCGTGATTAGATCGCGCCATGCACCACTATCACCCGCCTTCGGTTTCCATGATCTGCAATCAAGATTAGAACGTGTGAGGCTCACTTTAATCATGTCCTTGTAACGCAACTTTGGTTTCCCCACGTGCCGCTTCCCCATACTCAGTTGTTACGGTATCCGAGTCGAATCCATACGCCACACATGACAGAGCCATCTCAGGTGTCGCAGTAAAAGTATGCCGTCCACTGCATACATTCCACTTCGGCGCAACACTTCCGTGTCCGCAACTCTGTCGCCCCAACCGATCCGCAAAATTCGTCGCAAACACTGCTGATGGAACCGCTCGAGATATCGCACATCCCGACGGTACATCGTCCACGTTTCACTGCCGTATAGAAGAACGGACAGCACCATGGATTTGTACACCAGCAGCTTCGTGCCAATAATAAGCTGATGATTGTTCTACACTCAGAACTCTAGCTTCCCGAATGCCGCTGCCTTCGACAGGCGGATTAGATGCTCACTGTGTAGCTGCTGATCAGTCGACATCACACTCCCAAGGTAGCAGAAGCGGGAGGTGGTTTCCAATACTTCAGCACCAATGCTGATTCGCGGCAATATTGATGATTGCACCTCCGGTGAAGGCTGAAAGAGACAGACAGTTTTGCTTCTGTTGATGGTGAGCCCGAATTTGGCCGCTGTCGAAGCCAGATCATTAGTCATGTGCTGCAACTCATCCGCGCTGTGTGAAAACAACGCACAGTCGTCAGCAAACAGCAACATACGGATAGTTGTCTCACAGACTAGAGTTCTCGCACCGAAACGACGGATGTTCAGCAATCCACCATCAATACGGTGCTCCACACGAACACCGTAAGCACGAGCCGCATCAAAAGCACAACATTACATGAATACATATATAAAACAGGACAGCAGCTAAGACACAGCCTTGCTTCACACCGGAGATAACTGCAAAGTCATCTGAGGTCTGTCCACTCAGCTGCACCCTCGCTCGCATACCACTATGCAGACATTCAGTTAAACTTACAAACTTACGCGGGCAAAAAAACTTACCCAACACAAGCCACAATGCGTCGCGGTTCACCGTATCAAATGCCTTGGTGAAATCAACAAAAAGCGAGTACAATGGCTGGTGTCGTTCTCTACACTTCTCCTGCAACTGACGAGCCGCAAACACCATATCTATAGTGCTGCGACCCGAACGGAATCCACATTGCTCTTCCGACACGTTCGGTTCCACAACCTGACTGACGAGGCGGTTGAGCAGAATTCGGGCAATCACCTTGCCCACACTACTCAGCAAGTTGATGCCACCATAATTCGTGGAACATTGCTTGCTCCCTTTGCCCTTGTACAGTGGTAGCACAAGGGCATCCTTCAGCTCAGGATGCACCTCCTCCTCAATCCATACACGTTGCACCAAGTGGTGCAGCGAAGTCAACAACGCGGGTCCGCCGTGTTTTAACACTTCAGGCGGGATCCCGTCACCCCCGGCACATTTGCCGTTTCGCAGCTGAGCAAGTGTCCTCTGCGTCTCATCCAGTGTCGGCGTATCCGCCAGATTCGCCTTCACATCGTGCCGCTTCAGGCATTCATTGTAGGCTAGTCGATCTCTGAACGGTTGTTCAAGGGACAGTCAAAGTGTTTCCCAAAGATCTGTATTATGTCTGCAGTCTGGGTGCAGGTAGCGCCTGAACTACCATCGATCAGTGTCCTCAGCGGCTCCAATCTCGGTCCATACACCGCCTTCAAGGAGTCAAAGAGTTCTTTATGTTGGCAGCGTTCGTCTTAGAATTCTAGCTGCCTCGCCTTCTCCGTCCACCATGCATTTTTAATGCGACGGAGCTCTCGGGTCAGTCGCCGTCGAAGTTTGCGAAACTGACTACTCTTCCCCAAGTCACTGGGGTCTGCCACATGTGCAGCAAATGCTGCATTCTTCTTTGACACCAATGCGTCGATCGTCGCATTGTTCTCATCAAACCAATCAGGCCGTTTACAGTT